ATCAAATTTTAGAGATGTAAGCTAGCCTCACAAAGACTAAAACTAGTACTCTCTAGCTTTCATTTCTATTTCTCTTTAGGCATCACTGTATTTTACAAACTAGAAGTTTCATTCTGTTGTAACTATAGCCAACATCGGCCCCTGGCTCATATTTTCTCAACTTAGTTACAAGAAAGAGAAGGCTCTTCCCCCTGGACTGAATTTGAAATAAAAATTCTCAAAGAACTCTCCTTGATTCCACTTGGTAATATGACCACCTCACTGAATCAGGGGAGCAGAATGCTATAACTCAGTTGGATATAGTGCTCATTCCTGAGAGCAAGGAACATGGAAGAGTCCATTCAGAACACATGTTACAGTGGAAGAAGTAGTTCTCCAAAGGTGAAGGTATGCTATTTCCAAAAGAAATGAGAGTCAATTGCCAGACAAAACAATAAGTGTCAACTTTACTTCTAACCCTAAACTATAAAAGGTGTCTACATCCTTGAGAATACAGGACCTGGAATGTTAATGGTTGCAAAATAAAAAGTAGTTATTTTAGTATGTTCATGGACCTACCCAGTAAAGACTAGGACTCATCTCAATTACTGATGGCAAATTTTAAAAAAATACATCTTATAAAAATATCTAAATTAAAGCAAATCAATGCACACAAAAAAAATCAATGGTTCACAGATCACTTTTGAGCAATTCATACTGAGTTACTATAAAACATAAAGGTGTAAAGGAAATTAGACCAGTGAATTTGAAGCTCAGTTATCTCAAAACTTACAGAAAAAAAAATCATAGAAGGAAGGACATTAGAAAATAAGACAGACCTAAGATATCAAATAGCCAGTAACAGTTTCAAAAGCAGGGAGGAAAATGGACTGGAGTGATTCCAAAGAAAAAGAGGACATTTTCTCAGACCACACCAAATACTAGTCAAGATTTATGAAATCAAGCTTATAACTAGACATAGCATGGTGGAATGACTAAACTTCAAAAAGAAATAAATTTTACAAACATGCAGAAATATTTTATAAAAAGTTTTCTAGGAAGAAAAGATAGTTGGATTATATCACCCATATACAATCTTTCTTGATAAGCATTTAGTGATAAAAAAAACAAAAAACTCATCCTTTTACCAAATAATTATTAAATCCCTATATGCTTTTTAGCAGCTGGAGATATAACAGTCAACAAACTAGATAAAGTTTCTGCTGTGGAACTTACATTCTAGTGGGACCAAATGAAACTTCAGGCAAAGTGGAAAAGCTTGCTGAGATAAATAATGTCTGTCTAGGTAGAAAAATTTATGTTTCATTGTATTTTGTTTCATCATATTTAAGAGGTGATACTACATTTATTTTATTTTGTAATATTTGTTCTATCAATTAGGACTAGGTTTATCTAAGATTAAATTAACAGAGGTTCATATTTCTCTCATATATAAATCCACAGGTGGGTGTCCTGTGGGCTTTCTGGTAGCTCAACTCCATGAAGTCTTTAGAGACCTAGGCTCCTCATTCTCTAAGAATGTATCCTGTACCTACCCTGCCACACCATAACACACACACACACACACACACACACACACACACACAGAGGCTCCCTCAAAATTATTTGGGAAATCTTAGGAATTAGCATTTTAACAGGTATCTCAGGTGATCCTAATGAGGTGGTTTTTTACCCACCTAAGAAATCCTGAGATAGGAGTATGAGGAAAAAAATAGTGAAGTGACTCCCCAAAACCTGGTAATGAGATAAATAAAATTACTTGCAAGAATCAAACTATGAAATCAATAAATATTTGCTAACAGCAGAAATATGCAGAGTTAACTAAAGAAATATACATTTGGCAAAATCCTAACTTTTAGATATTCTCTTGTCTACGGAAATAGTCAACGTGACACTCAATGATGCAAAACAAGTCCACAGACATAATAGAAGCACCTAAAAAAGAGTCTCAGAGGCTTTCTCAAGATGTGACACTTACATCTCATTGCACACCATTTTAGAGCTTCTCCAACCATTCTCTTATGAAAAGTTTGGATTTACATTTCTTGTGACCCTTTAAAACATGTCACATGATACTTTATAATTCTTTTAATGTTTATTTATTTTTGAGAAAGAAAGAGAGCACAGTGAGGGCAGGGCAGAGAGAGAAAGGGAGGCACAGAATCTGAAGCAGGCTCCAAGCTCTGAGCTACCAGCTTAGAGCCCAACGCAGGGCTCAAACCCACCAACCATGAGATCTTGACCTGAGCCGAAATGGGACACTCAACCGACTGAGCCACCCAGGTGCCCCGATACTTTATAATTTAAATTAATTTTGTGCCATTAATATTATCCTCTGTCAGGTTGTGTCTTAAAAACTTAGGTCATATAAAGCCACTCATATCAAAGGCTGAAATGAGATAATTTTCAACTAAGAAGTTACACAAAAAGGCAAAATGAATTTGGCTTCCACATTCTCATCTGTCTTTCATTCGGAAGAGAAATAGGAGGCAAAAGAAAAGCGAAAACTAAGGTCAATATGTCACAAAGCCAGATAAACAATAGTTAACATTATGTTATAAGATCTTAAAAAAAAAAAGCAAAATCGAGTTGATTGTTTCTGTTCACCAAGTGGTTTTTGAAAATTCCTATCCAGAAAACAGATACATGTCCATCTATATTATCTTGAGTTCAATAGCTAAATTGCAGACCATTATCCTACTCTTCCTTAGAACACTACCTTACCTGGCCTTTTTGCTAAGTCCTATGTTTTAAATTTGCTGTTTAATTTCCAAATTAATTATTCTACAGTTCCCAATACTCAAGCAACCTCTCAGTATGCTGTGCGAGGCATTCCTGTTATCAAACAGTGTCAAACTAGTGATAGTGTGTTTATTTCTTGACCTCTGTCAAGGAAATCCGGGACTTTGGGTAAGCTTCTTCAACGTTCGGAACTTAGTTTATTTCATTTGAAAAACTATTGGAGCACCAGGGAGATTCAGTTAGTTAAGCCTCCCACTCTCAATTTCCGCTCAGGTCGTGATCTCACTACTTGTGGGTTCGAGTGCCAGTGCAGAGCCTACTTGCCTACTTGGGATTCTTTCTCCCTCTCTCCCTGTCCCTCCCCGGCTCTCTCTTTCTCTCTTTCAAAATAAATAAATAAACTTTAAAAGAAGGAGGAGGAGGAGGAGAAGGTTTGTTACAGATTTTCTAAAATCCCATCAAATTTTTAAGTATATAATCGTGATTTAAACATAACCAGGATTCTTATAAAGACATGGTAGATTTCTTCAGGGGAGCTAATTGGCAAGTTTTCTATAACCTTTCCTAAGCCCTTCATTGTGTGTACTTAATGGAAATCTACTTAGGCTCCATTTTACCTCCAAATTAAAGTGGGGTGTGGTGCAAAGGAAACAATCCATAAAACTAACAGGCAACCAATGGAATGGGAAAAGATAGTTGCAAATGACATATCAGATAAAGGGTTAATATCCAAAATCTATAAGGAACTCACCAAATTCCACACCCGAAAAACAAACAACCCAGCGAAGAAATGGGCAGAAGATATGAACAGACACTTCTCCAAAGAGGACATCCAGATGGCCAACAGACACATGAAACGATGCTCAGCAACCCTCCTCATCAGGGAAATACAAATCAAAACCACACTGAGATACCACTTCATGCCACTCAGAGTGACTAAAATGAGCAAATCAGAGAACTCTAGATGCTGGCGAGGATGTGGAGAAACGGGCACCCTCCTACACTGTTGGTGGGAATGTAAACTGGTGCAGCCCCTCTGGAAAACAGTGTGGAGGTTCCTCAAAAAGTTAACAATAGAACTCCCCTATGACCCAGCAATAGCACTGCTAGGAATTTACCCAAGGGATACAGGAGTGCTGATGCATAGGGGCACATGTACCCCAATGTTCATAGCAGCACTCTCAACAATAACCAAATGATGGAAAGAGCCTAAGTGTCCATCAACGGACGAATGGATCAAGAAGATGTGGTTTATCTATACCATGGAATACTACATGGCAATGAGAAACAATGAAATCTGGCCATGTGTAGCAACATGGATGGACCTTGAGGGTGTTATGCTGAGGGAAATAAGTCAGGCAGAGAAGGACAAATATCACGTTTGCACGTATGGGAGGATTAGGAGGAACTTAAGTGAGGACCATGGAGGAGAAGAAGGGCGGAAATGGTGGGGGAAAGGGAGAGAGGCAAACCATGAGAGACTCTTGAATGCTGACAAAAACTGAGGACTGATGGGTGTGGGGGGAGGGGGGGTGGGCATGGAGGAGGGCACTTGTGGGGATGAGCACTGGGTGTTATATGGAAACCAACTTGACAGTAAACTATTTGTAAAAAAATAATAATAAAAAAATAAAAGTAAAAGAAATAAATAAAGTGGGGTGTGGATAACCTACATTTTTGCGCTGAGAACAGAATCATGGCCCCTGTTAAAGTGTATCAGAACGACAGCACAGAAACATACACCCAGAAAGCTTTTTAGAAACAAAACCAAGAGGTTTGTCAGGTGAAAGCTATGCCCCAGGGATGCTTTGTTTTACATGCCAACCACTGCTGGAAATCGTGTAGGGCCAGGCTAAAAGGACTTGGGGTTTTGTTATTCTTCCTATTTTCAAATTTCAAATTCCCTTAAGCCAAAGACTGGTCTCCAAACCATCCAGTCCGTGACTAAACTGCCTCACCGGTTCAGAATGTGGAAACAAGACTCCGCCTCGCCTGCAACCGCAAGAGGGAGAAGCAGCTCCAGGACAGCCGGGTGAAGCCCAGAGTCCGGCCCACGGCCCGGCCCCCGCGCTGACAAGCGGGTGCCAGCCATGCAGCGACCGCACCACAACCCTGAGAGGCTCCGCTGTGCAGACCAACCCCGGCCGGATCCTGGCGGCGCGCCACGTGACCCAAGGGCGCGACCAATCAGCGCAGCCCTGCGCTATTCAAATCCGCGGCGCGGCGGACGGTTGTTTCTAGCCAGCCGCTGTCGGGGCCACCAAGCCCCAGAATCGCCTACGGTCGCCATGCACCGCGCTGGGCGCTGACAGACATCCGGGCCCGGCGGGCAAAATGGAGAGTTGGAGTGTGCCTACCGGACCTTATCGGGCCACCAAGCTGGTAAGACAGCGCGCAACAATAGACTGGCTAGTCGCAGCCGTGGACGCCACCAACTTTACGTGAGAACGTTCGGAGTTTTGCTTCGGGCAGACAGATGGGTCCCAGAACCTCTAGGTTTTCTGAGAACCGGACGGGGGGCGGGGGGGCCGGGGGGGGGGGTGGCGGGAGGGGCGGGAAATAAACTGGTATCAAGAAACCCTGACGGGACACGCCTCTCCCCCTTCTTTGAAGGTCAGGGCTGTGTCCTTGTGAGCCGTTTGTCCAAAGGGTCGTGTCTCCGGGATGGCGCATCATACTCTAGCCTTGTTTAGGGGACTCCTGTGCCTGCATTTGTCAGCTTGCCTTGGAATGTTATAGAATATTATGATTTTAGCCGCTCCCCACGTCTGATTTTCTACCCCCATCGGGATACAAAAAAAAAAAAAAAAAAATTAGAGTTCCATTACTCTGGAATGCCAGAATGGGGACAGCCTGAATGTGACAGCTTCTTTTTGCTGGGCCTGTGGAATTTAATGCAGGATCAGCCGACTGAATAGCACTAGGAAACAACTGCCCCTTTGAAAACTAAATCCAGAGTATTTAAGATACCCTTCAGGAACCACTGTTGGTAGTCACTGGATTTATAGAGTCTTTGTGCATTTAAATTTTCAAACCAAGAGAATACAGTGCCACTGGGTAGGAGACATTAAGAGAGTGACTTAACTTCTGTAAGCCTCAGTTTCCACATTGGTAAACTAGGGCTGACCATGCATACCTACCTTAAAGGATACCCTGAGATGATACTGTACAGGAAAGTGTGTTGTAATCTACAGATCCTGTGGACAGGCTACAGCTCAATGTTTCCTGAGTAAATAAATGTGTGAAATGGGGAGGTGTGGTGGGAAGAAAATAATACAGTTATTGTGTTTTCAACTCTTAAATTTTGTGTTGTGGGGCCACATAGGTAAGTGATAACAGCTAATAGTGGCATAGTTGGGGTTACAAATCAGATTTCTTGACCTCTAATGTAGGATTTTTCAGTTAAAAAGTGATGTGTTTATTTTATACCACCACCACCACCTTCATGCTCTCCTGTTGTAGCCACCACAATCCTTAAAGTTTGGGTTGAGGACAATTTGGAAAATATGAGTATCTTTTTAAAGGCATATCACAGTGTTATTCAATATGTAGTGTATTTAAAGCTTACTTAACTTACCTCATCTGTTCTGTGTTCACTATTGTAATCTTCACGTAAGAAATACTGTGGTAAATATTGGAGCTCCTGGGTGGCTCAGTCGGTTAAGCATTGGACTCTTGATTTCTGCTCAGGTCATAATCTCCCTGTTGGTGAGTTTGTGCCCCCTCCTCAGGCTCTGCAGGGACAGCTGGAGGCCTGCTTAAGATTCTCTGTCTCCCTCTCTTTCTGCCACTCCCCTGCACTCTCATGCACGTTCCCTCTCTCTCTCTCTCTCAAAATAAATGAATAGACATTTAAAAAATACTATAATAAATATATCAGATATTTCAACATTAAAGGTATTTTACCAGTAAAACTACTGCCTGCCATGAATTTTGTTTGGCCAGGTTAGTAGTTATGAGTGCAAGTTCTAGAATAAATCAAACCTGGGTTTGAATACCTGAGTTCATCACTTGACTGTGTAACCTTGGTGAAATTATCAGTCTCTGTGCTTCATATTTCTTATATGAAAATTGGATAATAATAATACCTATTCATAGAATTGTGAGAATGAAAGGGAAAAATGTAAATGTAAAGTGTAAAGTTGAGGATACAAATAAAAGAGTAAGTATTTTTTCTGATGAAAGTTAAGAAGCAAGTTCATTACAGTTCTTCATTATTTCTAGGTTTCCTAAATAAGCCAACCAGCCAATGAAGTGTTTTTACATTATTACAAAGACATATTATTACAATGCTAGAATTGATAAAGAGAAATCAGTATGATATATAAAATTTTCTGTATTAAATAAAATGAATGATTTCATGAATTTTTATGATGTAGTCATATTGAATAAAATAATTTTCTGTGTCTAATTTGTTTCAAATATGCATGATTTTTTTTTATATTTTCTTTTTGCAGTGGAATGAAATTACAACATCTTTTCGAGCAGGAATGCCTCTAAGAAAACACAGGCAACACTTTAAAAAATATGGCAACTGTTTTACAGCAGGAGAAGCAGTGGACTGGCTTTATGACCTATTAAGAAATAATAACAATTTTGGTCCTGAAGTTACAAGGCAACAGACTATCCAATTGTTAAGAAAATTTCTTAAGAATCATGTAATTGAAGATATCAAAGGCAGATGGGGATCAGAAAATCTTGATGACAACAGTCAGCTATTTAGGTACTGAACAGATAAATAAGTACAAAACTGAATTACTTAACAATATAACTCCACTTCTATAATACTTTACTAAAATTGTAGCTTTTTCAGAAGAAATCATGTTTTCTTTAGAAAACTGTTACTGCTCTTAGTGCAATTAAAACTACTAGAAGTTAAAGTTAATTGCTGCACAATTAAAACTTTTAAAATATTAGGTAGTATATATAATAAAATAAGTATTGGAAGGAAAGAATGAAACATCACTTCTGCATCTTCTGAAAGCTGTAACATTTCAAGGATAGATCATTATTAACCTCTAGTTTCATAGATTCAAGAATTTTAAGACAAATTCTCACAGATCCTTGCTTCCAAGTAATATAATCTCATAATAATCTAAGAATAAATGTGATTAAATAATAGCAAACTTGATATAATAAATAACAGAAGAAATATACTATAGGTTAAAGAGAATAATTTTTAAGGATTTACCATGTATCAGAAGACTTGCTTTATGATTTATATGTTTTCTTATTTAATCCCTGGACTAGCTAAGCAGGTTAGGTATTAGCTCCTTTTTACAGATGAGGAAGCTGAGACCATGCTTCAGTAAATCTTGTTATATCTGTCTGAAATATGTTCTTCGACCGTGAAACACTGTAGACATTGTCAGATTAGTGAATACATTTGCTCTCTTGTCAATTCTATTGCAGCCTTCTCTGTGGAGCCTTTCTGACTCCCTCAGGCCAGCACAATTGCTTTTTCTCATGTTCAGGGTTCTGTATTATATATCATTAAACTAGGTCTTTGGATTCTAATACCCATATTTTTTCTCTCTTCAAAATCAGTACTTCTCAAATGAAATGTCTTAGTAGTTGATTCTAGTGTATCAAAGATGATTTATGTTGTACAAGTAAATTGCAGTAACAAGCATGTGAATAGTTCATTTTGTATAGCACTCTACAAATCCTGCCTCTCTCAGCTACTGCTTAGTCACCTTTGTGAGCTCCTTTGCTGTTATTCATCCTTTAGCTATTACTGGTTCTAAAGGTCCAAGACTTGTCTTTACTTCACCTCTCTCCTTGGGCAATCTCTTGCCATGTCTTCACCTACTTTCCTTATGACTTTCAAACTTCCAACCCAAATATATCTCCTGAGCTTCAGACCTACTTTTGCCCATTAGGCACTTCAGATATAACATATAGAAAAATCACTATCATGTCTTAACCCAAATTTTATCTTCTTACTTGATACCTAACTGAGTGGCACTGCCTTCCCTATAGTTGCTTTGATTCTTTTCCTTTTTTCTTCCCTTTAAATATGATTTAAATAACAGACCATGTCTGTTATTCCACTTCAGTAGTTCTCTGATCTGTCTACTTCTCCCTCTACTCTGATAGTTCATTTTGTTAAACAGTTTTTCACTCTTACCTGGAATTCTGTGTAACTCTTCAACTAGTCTCTCTGCCTCTAGGTCTTTTACAGTGTGGTAGCAAATTTATAAATTATACTTAAAAATAAACTTTACCAACAATGTGTAAGACTCTACTGGAGAAAATTATACAATTACTTTAAAGGTAATGAGTGAAAAAGGATATCCTTTTGATGAATCAGTCAGAAGACTTGTCCAGAGCACCTGAGTGGCTCAGTTGGCTAAGCATCAGATTCTTGATTTCATCTAAGGTCATGATTCCACAGTTCATGAGTTCCATTCATATTGGGTTCTAGGCTGAGGGCACAAAGTCCAGAGCCTGCTTGGGGTTCTGTGTCTCACTCTTTCTCTGGCCCTCCCCACTCATGTCTTTAAAAACAAACGTTTTTAAAGAAAGAAGACTTAGTATCATAAATAAATCATTTCTCCCCAAATTGATATATAAATTCAGCACATTTTCATTCATACCCCTATATAATTTTTTATAGAATTTGACAAGCAGTTTCTAAAGCTTATTTAGTAATATAAAAGCGCAAGGCAATTTAGAGGAACAAGGAGGGGAGAATTTCCCTACCCAATATCTGGCCTTAAATTTAAATAATTAAGTACTGAAGAAACAAACCTATATATACAGTTGATCCTTGAATAACGCAGAGGTTAGGGGCACCAACCCCCTGCATGGTTGATAATCTACATATAACTTTTGACTCACCAAAAACTTTTCTAATAGCCTACTGTTGACCAGAACCCTATCAATAACACAATCAATTAACATACATTCTGTATGTTAAATGTATTATATACTGTATTCTTACATTAAAGTAAGCTACAGAAAAGAAAATGTTAACAAAATCATAGGAAAAGAAAGAGAAAACATATTTATAGTACTGTACTGTATTTTTAAAAATGTGTATAAGTGGGCTACACAGTTCAAATCCATGTTCAGAGGTCAACTGTATATGGAACTTGGTATAAGAAAATATTTTTAGGATTATGGAGTGATAACTTCTGAAGTCATTAAAAAATATGCATATTTTATTTTATACATTATACAAATATATTATAATTCATATATTTTATACATTAATGTATACTATAGAGTGATAAAACACCAAACCATATGTTTACATATACTCATTAAAAGTATAAAAACATGAATAAGAAGGAAATGTACTAACTGCAAGTTAATGGCTTCCCTCAGAAAGAGAAAGAAATAGAATAAGAGTTTCTTTGATGTGTTGGTTGATGATTACATACATGGATGTTGTTTAAATCATTTTCTGTACTTTTTTGTATCTTTGAAATATTTTTTATTGCACTGGAGGGGGGGAAGCATAATCCAAAGGGATAACAGAAACCAAGATCTGGAAATTAGAACAAGAAGAGTCAGACAAAGGTCAGAAAATATATATAAATTAGATAGCTTGTCAAAGAAATTTAGAAAATGGAACTATTTTTTTCTCAACAGAATTGATACCAATAATAACTCTTAATTATCAGATATAAAGTTAAAATACATACAGTATACTAAGAAAGTAGGCAACTATTAAAATGTTTTTAAGGGGCGCCTGGGTGGCTTAGTCGGTTAAGCGTCCGACTTTCGCTTAGGTCATGATCTTGCGGTTCGTGGGTTCGAGCCCCGCATCGGGCTCTGTGCTGACTGCCAGCTCAGAGCCTGGAGCCTGTTTCAGTCTGTGACTCCCTCTCTCTCTCTCTCTCTCCCCCCTAGAAATAAATAAAAAATATTAAAAATAAATAAAATGTTTTTTAAAAAATTTTTTAATGTTTATTTTTGAGAGAGACAGAACATGAGTGGGGGAGGGGCAGAGAGAGGAAAACACAGAATCCAAGGCAGGCTCCAGGCTCTGAGCTGTCTCCAGGCTCAAACCCACGAGCCAAAAGATCATGACCTGAGCCAAAGTCGGACACTTAACCGACTGAGCCACCCAGGTGCCCCAGGATGTTTTTAAAGGTTTAATGGGAAAATTGATTTATGTAGAATTTTCATTCTTTGGTAATATAAATAAATTCAATTCTTTTGTGATTTTTAAAAGATGAACTGGCACTAAAACTTTGTTTCTGATCTTATATTATTTAATTGTATATTATTCTTGAACCAGATTTCCTGCAAATTCTCCACTTAAAAGTCTTCCACGAAGGCATCTGGAATTGAGAAAGAACAGCATAGAGAGCTTTTCCAAAGATAAAGATAGCATTTTTAAATTTCGAAATTTATCTCATAGAACTCCTAAAAAATCTGGATTACATTTCTCTCAGGTAAAATATCCCTTTTACTAATCACTAGTTTAAATATAACTATCATGTACTTACTTATAAAACATTAAAAGTAGGTAGTTCTTTAATATTTGAAGCCAATACTAAAGTCTCTTAACCTACGTTGTATTGCAAAAATAGGTGTATATGTCTTACTATAGAATAGAACCCATAGAAACAATAATAAAAGTGGTAGTAAGACATACTTGAAATAGTATTTACATAACTTAAGCATGTTTTGTTTTAAATTGATTTGAGAGTGGTAGGGGCAGCTACAAAACCAAAAAGCACTATTGCCATATGTTAACCTTATTACTTCACGTGACACTTAACCTTATAGCTTCACTGTGGACTGTTTATTAATAGAATGACTAAATATTAGGAATTGTGTCAATTCAATATTTCCTTAATTTGAGCATAACATATTAAACCAAAGTAATTTTTTTCCAGGAAAATGTAGAGAAAATGAACCATGTAATAATCAATGAAGAGCAAGAAAATTCTGTTGATAATAGAGAAATAAGCCCAGAAGATATTGAAGAAGTTTGGAGATATATTATTCTGATCTAGTAAGCTAAAACTAAGCTCTAACCAAGTTCCAGAGGTGTTTAGAATGTTAATTTGACATTTTTATCAAGATCTACTAATGCAAAAAAAAAAAAGACTAGTTCTCAAAGCTTAGAATTTAACTAGTTTATGTATTTCTTAATAAATGCTCTTGAACTTCTAGTACAGGTGAAATAGAATGTTTTCAGTATGATTTGTTTTTTCTTTGAATCAAAGTTATATATAGCTATACTTTGGGGTCTGTATTGGAATCCTTCCAAGGTTACTAAGAGAAATGTATTTGAAAGTGGATACTAAATATGAACCTTATCAATTTGGCTTAAGAAAAATATTCTGATGGCTTTGTTTGCCATTCATACTCTTTAATATTTATTTCCTACTCCACTTATTTTATGTAGAAAAAGAAGTTTGTATTCTTTCTTCTGTTTAGCCTGCAAACCATTTTAGGTGTGCCATCCCTAGAAGAAGTTATAAATCCAAATCAAGTAGTTCCTCAGTACATAATGTACAACATGACCAATACAAGTAAACATGGAATAGTTATACTACAAGACAAATCAGGTTGGTATCAATAAAAGGTTGGAATCTTTTAAACTTGCTAACATAGGTTGCAGCTATAATGGGGATGTAGAGAGACTAAAAATGTAGAAAGTAGAATACTTTAACTGAAAGAATATCAAGGGGATATTAGTATCATAGGTGCTTTAGTAGTCATTTTTAGTGAATATCATTCATACTATTATTTTAGCCTCTAAGTGGTATTTATGCCTGATTTTTTTTAATGGCAGGGTTAAACATCCAAAAGCTATGAAAATATAATTAAAACTATTGATTAACTACATTTTCTCGAGGGCCTACAATGCACCAGCCATTATATTAAAGATTAGTGATGATCATACAATGTGCCAGCCATTATATTAAAGATTTAGTGATGATCAAAAGAAAAATGGTCCATGGCTTCTTGGAGCTTACCTGAGCGGTTATATATAAATTTACACAAGTCAAGATACATATGCAGAATGCTCAAGACCAGACTCTCAAGACCAATATTTTAAATCATTGGCTTATTATATATATTTATGTAATATATTCCTTTTATATGTAAGATGGAAAAATCAGAGATATAATTCAAGCCAGCTATATTATAAAGCTTAACATTTTAAGAAATGTATCAATAGATCTCAAAATGTTGACTCATTTCTTTATAATCAATTGCTGCCTGTAAAATTAACTTGCATGTATTACTTGAGTTTCTTTGAATTGGCAAGAACTTTAAGGTTTGAATTGTAGCAACAAAAAGCAAAACCTTAAGTTATGTAGCATATGCATATGGCTTTGGACCAGTTCCATCTTTCATTACCTAAAATCATATACTTAATGTTATATTCTCTTATTCAAACTTTCTGTTCTTTATAACCATAAACTCTTCAAGTGTATGTGTGGTTTTTGTATTGGTGTTCAATTTTATGCAGCATACATCAGTTAGCAGCAAATGAATGATTTTAACCAAGCCTCACCGAAAGCACCCTAATATTCAGATATAGCTTATTTCAATCAGAAGTCTCACTCAAATCAGTAATATTCAAATAGCATACCTATAATCAGAATGGAAATTAAAATAAAACATGGTGGCAGTGAACAACTATGAATACTAATGTATTTACAAATCCCCCCCCCCACCAAAATATCCTCAATTTTGGGATAATTGTTATATGTATTATGGAAAGAATCAAACTCAAGATCTCTATAACTTTTAAACTTGTATTTTAAAATATTGTCTTGGCCTTATGTCTTATTAAACATACAGTAATTTTTAATCCTGGTAAAATACATATATATACATACATATATACATATGTGTGTAATTATATGTAATAAGTATAAAGTTTTAAATATGCTTTCATGAAAATTATGTGATATTTATTACTAAACAATGTAAATTTTTTTTTTTTTGTATAGATGACCTTCCTCATTGGGTATTATCTGCCATGAAGTGCCTGGCAAATTGTAAGTTAAACAAACAAAATGTGTGTGTGTGTGTGTGTGTGTGTGTGTGTGTGTGTATGTGTGTATTCTATATTTTTAGTATTTAATAAGAACTAAGGAAATTTTGAAAACAATTAAAGAAATCCTGATAAACTTAGAGTATGCCATTTCTTTTGATGTTTGAGTGACAGTCTAGTCGAAATGATTACATTACCTTGCATGTGGAATGCGTTATAGAATCCATAATTTATGGTGATTTTATAATTCAAGCTCATTTATAGCTCAGTTTTCATAAATCGTTAAATCATAGACTAGTGGATCTTAAAGGATCTTTAGGTATAACCTACACCACTTGCCTTAGTGAGACCTATTGAGTTCAAACAGCAACTTTTAAGTAACATAGCTCTTAGAAGGTGGAAGGTTTCAATCAGAAATGAAGTCACATAAAATCTACTTCAGTCCCTTTGCCATTGTACATGGCTTCAACACTGAGGTGCTTCATGACATGCTTGTATTCCATAAGATATATTAATGGAATTTTTGTGTTTATGAAAAAAAAATGATCTGTCACTAATCAGCAAATGGAAAAAAAGCTTTTTCCATAGTGAGCAGTGATAATCTTTATAATTTGAGATGCTGGCCCAAGTATAAAACCCTAATTGCTTTAAAAATCAGTTTAAAAACTATGCAGAAATATGTGCATCTAAATCATCAAAAGTTAAATTATATTTGAATAATTTTGTTATAAAAGGATTTTTCTAGTTCTTATGAAATGAGTACTTTATTAATAATGTTCAAGATAGGTACATATTCCCTTGTTGTCCACTGGGTGTCAATATGACAAAATAACAGAATAAATAGCAATAAAGTAAATAATGTAAGTTATAGAAAAATTTGATCAAATTGAGGTATAAAGATCTTAATCATAAACTTAATTTGTGAGTTTCTCTTTTTACCTTCCCCCACCTAACTGCCCTTCTGTCTTACTCCTTGGCTCATGGTTAGCAGCCCAAATGCTTATACTTCCAGGGATTTCTCAGATATCCCATGATTAGAGATTTTTTTTTCCCTTTCCTACCAGTCCATGTTATACCTAAATGATAGCAAAGATATACTTTACGGATTCCAGTTCAACAATATATCTAGCCAAAGGTAGCATTTAGACTTTTAGTTATTATTCAATCCCCTGCAGTAATCCTATGACATATAGGAATCAGTTATTAACATACTATATAGGGATCAGTGATTAATATACTATCCCCAGTGTTTTTCTAGAAGAGGAAGTAAGGCTTTTGAAAGTATTCTACTGATATATAAAGAGCTATACATTCAAACCTAGATACTCTATAATAATTTTGTGTTTTTCATTCTAAATAAGAGTATTTTCTGTCTTAGAAAATTTTCTAATGATTATCACATTTTTTAATTCTACATATTAACCATATGTCTTATATCCTCCTTAAGCGTCTGACTCTTGGTTTCAGCTCAATTCATGATCTCACAGTCGTAAGATCAAGCCCCACATCGGGCTCCGTACTGAGTATGGAGCCTGCTTGGGATTCTCTCTCTCTGTCTCTCCCCTGTTCATGCTCTCTCTCTCAAAAATAAATAAATAAACTTAAAAATATAACATTATTCTTTTTAAAAACATGTTTATTTTGCTCTACGTAAAACCCAGATAAGCCTTAAGCTGTTAAATACGTGTGATTGTTTTCTCAATCCTTTTTCAGTGTGTGCTCACATTTGTATGGCCATACAAAACTCTGCTGACAGAAAAGTAAGATTATTTGGGTTTGAGAAGAGAAAGATTTTAACTTGAGAGATAGAATAGTGACTCTCAAACCTGAGTGCATATTACATACAGTCAATAGGAAGACTAGCCAAAGATTCTTATTTAGTTGATTCATTAGGTAGGTTCATTCCAGTTGAATTAAACATGTCTCAAAATTTTCTTATACTGAAGATTCCCAGATCAGCATTTGGCAACTATTAAATTAGTGAGCCAGCAGCAAACATTTCTAAGTCAGTAATTCATTACTTCACCTCCATAAATTCTGGTCTGTACAGAGGAACTTTCTTTAATAGGCACATTGGATGATTCTGATTATGTAGTCCATGGAGCACACTTTAAATGTTGTTAGACCTCAAAGTCCTAAGTCTTGCTCTCACTTTATAGTGTTCTAAGTTCTAATTCTAGCTTTTCCAATGGCTTTTTCATCGTAGGCAAGTTACTCTGAACTTCAGTTTCCTCATCTGTAACATGAAGTCACATCTTTTTCTGAGTAAAAAACTAATGAGCAGGCATGATTCTTTGAAGAACGTTAAGCTAGGGGCTCCTGGGTGGCTCAGTTGGTTTAATACTCAGCTCTGATTTGGGCTCACGTCAGGATCCCAGGGGTGTGGGATCAGCTCTGCATCGGGGCTTTGGACTGAGCATGGAGCCTGCTTGAGATTCTCTCTCTCTGTTTCCCTCTCCCACTCTCCCCTATTCACTCTAAAAAAAAAATGAAAAATTAAAAAAAAAAGAACATTAAGCTAATGAAATGGCAATATAAAGATATTATTTAAACTCATTAAGGGTATGCTTCATGTCAGACAAAATTTATTCATGAAAATGTAAATTTACAAAAGATAATTTGGAAGAATTATTTTCATTATCTACATATTCTTTGTTTTGTAAAATGAGTTGCAATAAAATATCATTAAATAACCTACTGCTTTAAAATATATTTCAAATGTTGCCTTATATACAATTTTTAGATAAATAAATATTAAAACAAAATGCTAGTAGTTACTTGCAGTGATTTTTTTTTTTTTTAGTTTATTTATTTATTTTGACAGAGAGAGTGTGTAGGCACAGGAAAGGGGCACAGAAAGAGAGAGAGAGAGAGAGAGAGAATCCCAAGCAGGCTGTACCCTGTCAGCACAGAGCCACACACAGGGGCTTAAACCGAAATCCAGACTTAGATGGATGCCTAACTGACTGAGCCACCCAGGTGCCCCTATTAGCACTGATTTGCAATGAAAACATAATGAGAGGGGCGCCTGGGTGGCTTAGTCGGTTAAGCGTCCAACTTTCGCTTAGGTCATGATCTCGCGGTTCGTGGGTTCGAGCCCCGCGTCGGGCTCTGTGCTGACTGCCAGCACAGAGCCTGGAGTCTTTTTCAGAGTCTGTGACTCCCTCTCTCTCTGACCCTCCCCTGCTCACGCTGTCTCTCTCTCTCCTAGAAATAAATAAAAATATTAAAAAAAAAAAAAGTGTCAAAAAAAAACCATAATGAGAAAGAATGAGATGCAATGTGCACAATTCTCTTAAATTTTTGAACTGTGGCAAAAAAACTTAGTTCCATCATGAAATATAGGTTTGACACTTCTTATAAGTATATCTAAATTTTTATTTAAGATAAAATATGTTCTAGCAGTATTTTTGCCTTCTATCTTTTAGGGCCAAGAAGTAATATGAATAATCCAACTTATGTTGGATTTGAACGAGATGTATTCAGAACAATAGCAGATTATTTTCTAGATCTCCCTGAACCTCTGCTTACCTTTGAATACTATGAATTATTTGTAAGCATTTTGGGTATGTATGGATTTTTACTTATTATTTAAACTTATTTTATTAACATTTTCACGTCTCCCAGATATAAAAGATCTAAAAGTGTAGGTAAATATGAAGATGGGAAGCTATAAATTATTTTAAAATTTGGGAATACTGTGGTTCCTGTTATGTTGTTTGCCAATAATTCACATATATCATTCTAACACCAGTTATCCACATCAATTGGGTATCCTACAATTCAGTTCATTTCTGACACTGACTACCCAGAGTTAGACCAGACCCCATAAGTTAAGGACAAAATCCTTAAATTCTGATACTAACCACCCAGAGTTAATGCAAACTCCACAGATTAAGGGCTCGGTTCCACAAGACTGCCCTCACTTCAGGTACCACCTGCAGACGAGGTCCTCAGACTTACTTGCACTTCCGCCCTAACTACCAGTTTGGATGTCCCCACAACCTTCCTTGGATTTAATAATTGACTTGAATTATTAAACTAGAATAGTTTAATAGAACTATTAAAATAGAATTCTGGAAACTGCTTTATTTAACGAGTACCAGGTTTTATAAAGGATACAGGACAGAAACAGCTATGTGGAAGAAGTGTAGAAGGCAAGGCCTAGAAGTAAGGGTTGTACAGTGCTTTCATGCCCTCTCCAGGAATCCCACCATCCCAACCATGTCCATGTGTTCAGCAACCTGTAAGCTCCCTTAGCCTTGTTACTTCCTAGTTTTAACTGAGGCTTGGTTACATAGGCATGATAGATTAAATTATCAGTCATTCGTTATTTTGCTTAGTCTTCAATCCTCATACCCCTCTCCTTCACGTAGGTCTGAGATAGGCTGAAAGTTCCAATCTTCTAAGCAAGATCGGCCCTAAGTCACCTCATTACCATAAACTCAGATGTTCTCCAATAGGTGCATTATGTATTACAAAAGACACCTGTCTCTGGAAATTCGAAACATTTTAGGAGCACTATGCCAGTTACTAGAGACCAAGACCAAATATATGTGTTATTATAGTACAGTTGTCTTAAAATTAAGAGCTTGCTAATATTTGTAGATGAAAGCAGTGATTTTTAATGTATTTGATTCAATTCCTTTAGACTGTTGAAAAAAATTTTAAGTGATTTATATCACAAGTTGGAAAACCTCTACTCAGTCTTGCACTTTATAACTGAATGTTGCATGTGTCCTATTTAAGTGGCTTCTGAATTAAGCAACTGCTATTTGTACTATACTAACAATATTGATAGTGATGCTTTATTTTTTTAACTTTACTATGGTTTTTGTTTTATTTTTGTCCACTGTCACACAGTTGCATCTTAATTTTTGTTTCATTTCCTGGTAGTTGTTTGTGGCTACATCACAGTTTCAGATAGACCCAGTGGGATACATAAAATCCAAGATGATCCACAGTCTTCAAAAATCCTTCGCTTAAACAGTTTGAATTCCTTCAAATCAACTGAGTGTCTTCTTCTCAGTCTGCTTCATAAAGACAAAAACAAAGAAGAATCAGATACTACTAAGAGACTGCAGATAAGTGATCAAGGATTTCAAGAAAAATGTGCTAAGAAAATACAGCTAGTTAATTTTAAAAATAGAAGAGCCAGTGCTAATGACATAATGGGAGGAAGTTGTCATAATTTAATAGGCTTAAATAGTATGCATGTTCTATCCTCTAACGTCAAATCAAGATGCTATTCTTTAGAAGGAATTGTAGACTTACCAGGGAGTTCAAGTAAAGAAGTCTTCAATGTCTTCCATCAATCTGTTCTGAATAGGGAAGGACAAGATAATAAGCAGTTTTTAGAGTCTAAGACCAACCAGGAATCTCTAATGAATCTCCAGTCAGAGGAAAGTAATCAAAAGCCACTCTGTGTTGGTTTTAAGAGAACCTCTACTTTGACTGTTCAAGACCAAGAGGAGTTATGTACTGGGAAATGCAAGTCAAAACAGCCTTGTAGATCTCAGAGTTTACTTTTAAGAAGTAGAACAAGAAGTAATAGTTCTATCAATATGCCAGTGGCTGAAATTATCATGAAACCAAATCTTGGACAACTCAGCACATGTGTACAAACAGCTACGGAAAATGAACTCGGAGAGTCTAGTACCACAATCAATAAAAGACTCTGCAAAAGTACAATAGAACTTTCAGAAAATTCTTTACCTCCAGCTTCTTCTGTATTGACTGGCACACAAAGTAAGGTTGATGCTTTCAATGCATGTAATATTAACTTTTAGTGCTTACTAACTGTTTTGCTTACCTGTCTTTTCTTCTCTGAAACTGCTTTGTATTTTTCCTCCACAAGGAAAAGTTTTTATAGTAAAAGACTCTTGTCATGACATAACCAAGATTTATTCTACTTATATAAAACACTTCTTATTTTCTTTTACTTCATTTTAACTTATTCTGAGTCACTTTATTTGTAGTAAGTGAAGGATATTAGTACTCAAATAGGTTATGAAGAAAATAATGAAAATCTTACCATGCTTTTGAGGAAATGTGGAAATTTCTAGGGACAGTTACAAGAAATTAGATACTAAAATGTTATTTTTGTATTTATATAACTGTATTCTTTATGTAACTGTATATGCTCCTATTATGAAAACAACTAGTGTCATTGATGATTTTTTTGGGGGGTGGGGTATAATTTTGCCTTCCAGGTTTGCTGCAACCTCATTTAGAGAGGGTTGCCATCGATGCACTACAGTTATGTTGTTTGTTACTTCCCCCACCAAATCGTAGAAAGCTTCAACTTTTAATGCGCATGATTTCTCGAATGAGTCAAAATGTTGATATGCCCCAACTTCATGATGCAATGGGTACAAGATCACTGGTAAGTTGATTTCTTATGGAAAGAATAAGCCCTGGTTCGTAAACTATTAAAAGAAAAGCAAATCATCTAAAAGTACTACTTGAATGATGCTGTGGTCTCAAAATCCTAGCCTTTCTTGGGGTAGAAAGGCTCTTAAAAATATCTTTCCTAGTATACAGAATGTTGGTGCATTAAACCTTTGTGTCCAGTATGTTGTACTTTCATATTGTGACCTTTATCTTGTCTAAGCACTTTACTTCTTCCCTCATATCACTTCATAGTAATTGACTCAGTCTATCGACCACATTCCATTGCCTTGTACCAATTCTGTTTGGTGGGGAAGGAAGAGGAGATATAGGCACAGTTAAAAGCATAAGGGCACTGTAACGAGAGAATTAATAGTAATATTGTGGTAGTGGGAAAGTTGTATTTGATGAGTTATGTGACTTAAGATAACATGTCATTGTGAGTAAGAAATTGACCAAACTACTGTGAAGCAGTCTCAGACCCCATAAGAGGATGAGGGTGGAGGCATTTTATACATTTATACATTTTATACATTTTATATTGATTGGAAATGAACTCTTAAAATAGTATCTTCTCTCTCTCTCTTCAAGAGCTGCCACTCCCTCAGTGCTAGTTCAAATGATTTTCTTATAGCTAGGAATCTGGAGCTGAGCTCTATTCTTCTACACATTAAGGACAGTTCTTCAACAATAATAGACCCAAACTTTAGAAGAAGAATTATTCTTAACTGGGATACCATTAAAAAACATAGAGAAGTTTGTAGAGGAATATATTTTGAGAGACATGAGTAGAAAGGAGATAATTTGAGTTTTATACTTTTTGACTTTACTTTTGAGTTTATAGGACATCCAAGTGAAATTTATCCAACAGACTATTAGAAATATGAGCCTGGTGGAGATCAGGGCAGAATGCAGATTGTTTGGAGGGAAGTGGTAATTGAAGCTTTGAGGGTAAATGAACTCTACAAAGCTAAAAAAGAAGAATAAAAAGCTGAGGACTGAGTCTTAGAAGGAGAAAGGAAAACATGTCTGACTTGTAGGAATAAAACCAAAAATATTTCAATTCAATAAATATGTTCATTGTCTATTATGAATTCTTAAAATAGAATTCTGATTAACTATAATAATTTTAGAAAGAGGTATCTGTTTATGTGTTTATACTTAGTGGCTAATATGGATATGAATGAGAGTAAAGGAGTTATGAAATGCAAAATTTATTCCAGAATTTGAAGACCACTTATTGATGGAATTGAAAAATATATGTATTGTCTTTAAAATCAAAATAAGAATTAAAAACCATTTTTCAGAATTTCAAAAGCTAAATGGTACTAACCTAATAACCATTAAGTTTATATATTATGTATTCTCCTGGCTTGTGTTTTGTGAAGTTAACTTAATGTAATAAGTCCTTGTTCTTTAACATTCCTAAGTAACATATCTATATGATACTAATAGAACCTATGATGTTTACTGATAAAATTATGACAAAATTAAAGAAAAAACTAAGCCTTTTATAACCCTTTGGAATTCTATTAAGGAAATACTTAACAAGTACTTTAAGTTCTTACCTGTCTAATGTAATTCATTGTCTTCATTTTTAAGCTGAAGTCTGCTTATCATTTTATCTCAGTACTTTAGCACGATACCCAGAAACTACTGATACTCTTATTTATATAATGCCTTAAAATTTTTAAATCACATCTTTCAATATGTTTCTAGATGATACAGACTTTTTCTCGTTGCGTGCTATGCTGTGCTGAAGAAGTGGATCTTGATGAGCTTCTTGCTGCAAGATTAGTTTCTTTCTTAATGGATCATCACCAGGAAATTCTTCAAGTACCCTCTTACTTACAGACTGCAGTGGATAAACATCTTGACTACTTAAAAAGGGGCTATGTATGTATTGTAAATCTTAAAATTCTCTGTTCTCTGTCAGTTCCAAGTGGCAAATTCATCTCAAACTAGCCTAATGAAAAAGGAAGACTTTATCAGCTCACATAAATAACCTCTAAAAGTCAGGAATATAGACAGAATCTGAAGACTCAAAAAGGAATAAAACTGTTTCCATTCCTTCATCTCTTATTTCCATTTTGGTCCTGTATTTGACAAGTCTTCACATGATGGGGGTCATAAGTTTGATTAACGCTCTTAAATCACAGACTTAACATTTTTAATCCAAAGGACAAAATAACTATCCCTTCAACTACCAGTTTGAAAAGTTCTTCACATGGCCTCTGACTCGCCCAATCCAGGCTAAATACACATCTTTTAGGTGGTTGAGGGTGAGTATGTCAGAGACAGGGCCATGCTCTGATTGGCTCTACATAGATTAGAGGAGAAACTGTTCTTCGAAAAAGGATAGTGGAGGTAGAACTGGAAGGAACTATTAAAAGAAGTAGAGAAGGAATACTGAGTAACCAAAACAACAGTTGTCTATTATATTCAGTCTTTGGCTGCCCGGGATATATTCATGTTTCTTTCCATACATAGCATTCTAATATTGCCCTGGCTTAACATAATTACCCTTACAATCTCCTTCTTTTGTCAACAGATGCTCCTACATGCTCCTATACCTGCCCATGCTCCTGCCCATTCTCCTACACCTCAAAAACAATATATGAATACTCTTACTATGTCAAACATTAATGTTTTAAAGTGAATTAAAACATCACTCTGGGGCACCTGGGTGGCTCAGTCAGTCAAGCATCCTACTATTGATTTTGGCTCAGGTCATGAACTTGGGATTGGTGAGTTCAAGCCCCACGTCAGGCTCTATGCTGACAGTGCAGAGCCTACTTGGGATTCTCTCTCTCTCTTTCTCTCTCTCTTTCTCTCTCTTTCTCTCTCTTTCTGCACCTTCCCCACTCAAACACACACACACACACACACACACACACACACACACTCTCTCTCTCTCTCTCTCCCTCCCCCCATCCCACAAAATAGATAAAACTTTTTTTTTAAATTACTTTGATTTTTTATTGTTTTATAGTTAAAAGAAAAAAAAATACATGGTTAATAGCAATGATGATGATGGATGACTGGCTTATTTAATACTTTTTCTGTTCTAAGCCCTTTACACATATTATCTCATGTAATTCCCCATTTTACAGGTGAGGAAACAGACCAACAGAACTTAAATAACTTGCTAAAGTTTACAAAGCTAGTAGGTTGTGGGTCTGGGATTTAGATCCTGGGATTTATCACTACTCTATTACATAATACAGTTTTTTTTAAGAGTTGAATGTTTGGTGGCAAATTAATACATACTAAATCCCATCAAAAGAACTCTTAGCAAATAGGAACATGAACAGAATTAATAGACTTAGACTGTATCCTTTTGTTCACAACAGATTAAAAATCCTGGAGATGGACTGATTGTTCCTTTGCCAACATATTCATACTGTAAGCAGATTAGTGCTCAGGAGTTTGATGAACAAAAAGTGTCTACCTCACAAGCTGCAGTTGCAGAACTTTTAGAGAATATTATTAAAAACAAGAGTTTGCCTCTAAAGGAGAAAAGGAAAAAACTAAAACAGGTAAGAGAATGCACAGGTTCTCAAATCACATAAATCTTTTTCAATATGCTGTTGCTGATTGTTATTTAGTAACACTTAGAATCTAATTTCTTATTTTATTATTTTGGATTTTAGATATTATACATATAGGTTATATATGTAAATGTAGCCTAAATGCCTGGTTTTACTCTTTATCCTGAAATTTAAATAATAACAATAATAATAACATAACTTTTCCTTTACTTCCTATGACTGTAACTTAGATTGCCATGGGAAAACAATTATAAAATTTTGATTATAATACATAGTTTTTAATGACTCATTATTGCCATTTACAATTTTTATCTCCACCAAAATCCAGTAGTAACATGATTCTGGCAGGTTTACTTCCAGGCCTAACATACCCAAATACGAACTAGATCATTCTGGCCTTCATAGGCTTTATCAATGGAAAGGAAGAAGATCTAGAACTTAGGAGGAAAACACCTAAGAAGAGAATCCTAGAATGTTAATGTTAACTGGGATCTAAGAAATCTTACCTTATGCCTTTCATATATGAGAAAGCAGAGTGAAAGGCAAAGATAAATTGAAAGGATACTCATTTCTGAAATACATCTTTGAGAAAGGCACTGAATTCTTATAAAATTTTGAACACTGGCTTCAGGGGGATAAAAATGTTAAATACTCTCTAATTCCTCACCTCATTTTTAAGTTTCAGAAGGAATATCCCTTGATATATCAGAAAAGATTTCCAACCACGGAGAGCGAAGCAGTACTTTTTGGTGACAAACCTACAATCAAACAACCAATGCTAATTTTAAAAAAAACAAAATTTCGTAGTCTAAGATACTAACTGAACTAAAAATTATGTAATACTTGTGGAACTTTGGTAAATGAAGCCATACCTAAGAATCTAGCAACTACAAAGGAAGTCTATTTATTAATAAGGTTTTTCTAAATAAAACACATTATGGACAGAAGTACCAAAGTAATTTTTTATCAGTGTAAGACTGCTAACAAATTAGTGGGCCCTAACTGTGAGCCAATAACAAAAGCAATACCAGATACTTTAACCAGAAATAATCTTTTTTTTTTTTCTTGATACAATATCCAGTAAAGCTGTTATGGTGTGTGCTAAAATTGTATTTACTTGAATTTTGAAAGTTGACGTGTTTATCGAGATTAAGCTGTAATTCTGTTTTTAAAAGAAATTAACTTTCTGCACATGTGCTTATGAATATTAGCTAAAGTACAAGTTGTTTAGGGATACTCTTATTTCTAAGAATAAGAATGTGAAGAAAATTGGAAAACTCAGTGAATTCTCTACTGCTAAATGCTGCACTCTTTTGTATATTCTTTTTCTACTTTTGATCTATTTATATGTGTGTGTTTTTAAAATATGTTCATGTAAGTCTTCAGTTTGCTTTATACAGTTATCCCAAGTGCTTCAATCATTCAATTTTTCAATAAATATCTTTTGTATTCTTATATTCATGTATCTACTAGAAGACAGTGTGGAAAAGAAGTATAAGGCAATCATGTATTCATTCAAAAGATATTTATGTAGCAACTACTATGTGCCTTTTATTATTCCAGATATAGACTATGATGAATGAAACAGAAAATCTCTTAAGTATTTATTTTATAATCAAGGGAGATACTTCTATCAGATACTGAAAATAACAGTACACACTCTGAGGGAGTCCTCAGCTGAAGACTGACCTCTTTAGTTATGTAACAGTTCTCTAAGCTAGAGTTTTTCAAACTGTTACATATTAGAATCACCTGGGAAGTTTTAAAATAATACATGCTCAGGCTCTACCTTATATCAGTTAAATCCAAATTTTAAGGGATGGTAGATAGGCATCAGTATTTTCAAACTCTGTAGGTGATTCCAGTATTTACCCAACTTTGAGAATCAGTCCCTAAACAGTTTTTATAAAAATGTAAATACCAAGCTGGTGGCACACTGGCTTTATTATTTCATTGGAAGAAAATGCAGATTATAAATGCTTATCATCTTAATACAGGGTTACCCATATTTCTGCTTTACTGAGTTAATACAAACTTGAGGCAGTTTTTCTTCCATATTTTACTCTATGATAATTTAATATCCATTCATTAAGTGTAAAAATGTACATAGGATCTGGGATGTCATAGACACTTATTGTTCAATGACTTTTGATTTCTCAATGTTAAGTTATACTATGAAATAGTATGACAATGTTTCATTTGAGATTAACATTTTTTATTAAAAACTTGAATAAAAATGGCAACTATATCTTTTTCCCAGAAACCTTAGCCATAAAATTAGAGGACCAAATCAGATCTTTTTCTAAGGTGTTTGTATGCTGAAACTTCCTGTTTAAAGATCTGTAATAATGTGAATTCTGTTGCACATTGAGATAAAAATTATTGTGGGTTTTGTAACAATTTAATTTTGGTTTTGTATTTATTGATATTAAATATATAAATATTATAAAGACATAGTAACTTTTCATCTGAGCTAGTGTGCATGCAATTGAGATTACAAAATTGGTGTAACAATTTAATAACATGGGGTACCTGGGTGGTTCATACGAAGTCAGGTTTGAATTTTACCATGCTATTTACTATGTAACCTCAGACAAATTACTTAACTGCTCTAAGTTCTACTTTCCTTATCTATAAGATGAAGATTATAATAGTATCTCTCTTTTAAGATTGTTGTGAGAATTAAATAGAATAATGCATGTGAAGTGCTTAGCAGTGTCTAGCCTAGAAGAAGCACTCTGTAAATATTAACAATTATTATTAGAATTACCTGGAATTATAGCACTTAGAAGAGATCTTAGCAAAAACATAGTCCTCTGTCCTTTCAGTTGCTTTGGGCAGACGTGAACCAAACAAAATTGTGAACAATCAGTGAGTCTTATTAAACTATTGTTTAGTTATGAGATTAGGGTTCTGATTGTACACACTGGCTAAGAAATTTTAACCTAATATAAAGGGAACATTTGATAAGGAAGGAAAGTGCAGTACCTTCAGAACCAATATTCTTGAGTATGTAAAAACATGGGATGCATACACACTAGAAAACGTAAGCCTTTCTACTTAAGCTGAATAGAAAGCCTCAACTGAAGCTGAAGCATGGACAGATTCCATTCTATCAGGAAAAAAAGGCAAAGTGTTTAAGTTCAAATATAGATGGGTTGATTGGTTGATTTGATGTTGATGGCTTAAAGAAATTCTGAGAGTCAACTGCTGAGAGTAAAGCAGGTGGGGAGGATATTGCACAGAATAGAGAGAAGGTATGAAATAGTCTAACAAACTTGTAGGGATACACAGTTAATACCAAATCAAATTATTTTGTCTGGTTATTTTATAAATTGTAGTTCTTGCCACCACCTATCTCCAATAGCTTCTGCTGATGGTTGTCACATAATGATCCACTCTCCCCACATATTGTCCAAACTGTTATTTAACATTCAGTAGTGGAAGGTATGTGACATTTTTACTGACTACATTCTATCTTTGGGAAACTTAAACTCTGAGTTTTTTCATCTATAAAATATGAATAATATATCCATCTAACCAAGTTGTTTTGGTAATGAAAAGAGGCAATATATTTAAATATTAAACAGACCCAAGCCCATGTTCAATTTCTCATTTCTTTTCTCTTTCTTTATATTGACCTTAACAAGATCTCTGCTGATTAAAACTCCTTTTCTACCAAATCTCTATCTTCATATCTCACAGTGTTTCTATGTCTATCATTGGTAATAATTTGACCTCATATTTGGTGGAATTAGAGATAGTTCTGAAATTTTATATCCTGGAAACCTGTGGGGTTTGTTTTGTTTGTTTTGTTTTGTTTTGTTTTTTGTTTTTTGTTTTTGCGGTTTGGATGCCAGTTGAATTTCTGATGGAAGTTTCCTTACAATGGGGTGGCTGGGCAGGAGGTGGCCAGACCCTGCTCACCTTGCCCAGGGCTCCTGGGGAAGGTAGGAGCAGAAACAAAGTTTAAGGCTAAGGCTGCTGCTATGTCCTGGATGCAACAACCTGGAAAATCATGTTAATCAAGGAAACAAAAATCCCTCTAAACTCTCTCTGTGGTACTGCATTAAAAAAAAAGAAGAAAAGCCACAGCTCTGAGAACGACAGGCCCCTGCCTGTTCCGCAGTGTTGCTGTACTCAGCAGTCCTTGATCAACCTTGGACTCATCACTTGGGGTCATGAAAGAACAGGACTCCTTGCCTGTTCCCTGATCCTTGCTTGGTGTGGGTATCAGTGAGGTCCCAGGGGCATGGCAAGGGCACCCGAAGCACTCAGGAGAAGCAGGACAGAGTCCACTTGCTGACTGGGACAGGATATATCCAACAGATATACCACCCTTTGATTTTGAAGGTAAAATGTGTGTGTGGCTGTGTGTGTGTGTGTGTCTGTGTGTGTGTGTGGCGTTGAAGCCTTTCTAGGAGAGGAAATGAAGGATTGCTAGTTTTAATATTAAACTCTTAATTGAAAGAAATAAAGTCAGTTTCACTAGAATAAACTTAACACTTATAAATACAATAAAGTACAATAACTAAGAATCTTTTATTACTCAAAAATAGCTCTTTTATGGACTCAGAATCTTATTTCTTATTTTCTGAGAACTGGGGGTGGGAGGGTATACAGATTAGCTGTTATCTCCTGAAAACCTCAGAATGTGCATGGACGAAATGCAGAATGTAGAAGACAAGTGAAAGTAGTGACAAAAATTTTTTTTGTATCAAAACATAGATTCATATACATTGGTTGATCTCTGAATTCTCCTTTCTTCCATAAGCAACTAGGAAACCAAATTATATGAAACAACTGTTTTTAGACATTGGGCTGTAGGTAACATGGGACTATGATAACTGAGAAAAGGGAAAACAAAGGTGGTGAGCCTTATGATTGCCCCTAGATTATGACCTGGAAGCAATTGCCAGGTCACAGTGCTGGGAGAGAGAACCAAAACAAAGCCCAGTGTCTCACTACATTTAGTAGCTAGAGGCCAGAGTTCAGGATGACTGAAGAGTTGCAAAACAACAACGAAAAGCTCTAGATATCTGCAGAGATCTTCAGAGAATAGTTTAAACACTTTTTTCTGAGTAATAATTGTCATGGAGTTCAGTGAAGGAAGCCAGTTGATTGCTATTCAACAAGACCAACAAAAGAATAACTTAAAAGCAGTAAACCAAATAGTCCCTGGACCTTGCTGAGCTGGAAATAGTTCATGTTACCAGCCAGAATAGAACTTCTAATACATGGGGCACTGGGTAGCATCTTCAGAAGAGTTATGCTTAGATAAAAACTGCTATGGATTCACCCTAACAAATCTTAAAAACAAGCCTCAAAATATTCAAATTGATCAAGTAACTTCCTGTGTGCCAGAACAAAGTTCCATACTTTTCAAAATAAAACAAAACCCAGCACTCAACAATGTAAAAATCACAATGTCTAGAATCTAATCAAAAATTACCAGACATGACTTACTATGAGATCATTTCATAATATATACAATATTGTATCATTTTGTTGTACATCCGAAACTAATATATTGTATGCCAATATACTTCAAAATAAAAATAACAGTTGTAATAAAAAGAAAAGAAAAATTACCAGATATGCAAAGGAACAGAAAAAATATATAACCCATAAACAGGGAGAAAAAAATTGTCAATAAAAACTAACCCAGGAATGACAGATATAATGGAATTAACAGACACTTTAACAATTATAATTTTATTGTAGAATATAAAGGAAATACAATTCTAGTGATAGAATAGAGGATATTTTTTAAAAAGATCCAAATATTAAAAGATCTAAATATTAAAAATACAATATCTGAAATGAAAAATATATAATGAAATTAATAACAAATTAGATACAGAAGATCTACAGAAAATCTAATAACAAATTAGATTAGCAGAAGAAAAGATCTGTGAACTTGAAAACAGCAATAGGCACTACTCAAGATAAAGAGAAAACAAAATGAGAAAAAAGTACAGAGCCTCAGTGAACTGTGTGAAAGTATGAAACTGAGTAATGTGTACAATAGGAGCCTAGGAATGAGAGAAGAAAAAAGGAGGACATAAAAATTATTGGCCAAAAATCCACAGAAGCTCAAGTAACCCCCAACAAAAGAAAGAAAACCACACCAAGACACATACAATCAGGATACTGAAAACTAATGATAAAGAAATCTTAAAAGTATCCAGAGAGGGACACCTGGGTAGCTCAGTCAGTTAAACTTCTGACTCTTGATTTCAGCTTACATCATGAGAGCCCTGTGTAGGTCTCCACGCTGACTTCTCCCTCTTTCCTTCTCTCTCTGCCCCTCCCCTTCATGTACATGCACTCTCTCTTTCTCTCAAAATAATAAACATTTTTTTTAATCCAGAGAAAAACATTTATACAGGAAAATAAAATAACAGTAGACTTGTAAAAAAGCAATCCCAGAAAACAATTGAATGATATTGTTTTAGATTTCCTATTCTGGCTAGGAGTTGTTGGTAGTCCACCACCAATAAAAGTTGGGCAGGGACTATTAGTACTTTACCAACCACCTATGATAGCCCCCTCATTATGAGCCAGCCATTGGCTGATCTGACTCTAAAACTCAATTTTAGTCAGCTTCCTGGAACTAGTCTTAGTTCTACTGTAGGTCATGTTCCCCACATTTTGAGACAAATATTTGCATAGGATGTTACTGGAAAGTACGCTCAGGAACACTTGTAAGAAAGTGATGGAGCTGGAATAGGGGAAAAGAAAAAGTTGAACTACAATGCAATTGCAAGAGAGGCCTCAGCTGATCCCATGAGGGGCTCTGAAGCTGGGATGGCTATTCAGAATTGTCCCAAACTGAAAGAAAGTGCTAGGCCTTTGTAGCGTTATGTAAACCAGTCACCGAATATGGGTTGATTCTGAAGAGGAAGTGTAATCTTGGGTGAGACAACTTCCTTCCTAAAGAGGACTGCAACCAATATTCCTGGCAGGTGGGAGAATTCATGACATAGCACTGAAAGGGGGTCTGTGTGGAACACCTCATCATTGAGGACCCCTAGCATTAAAATGAACAAAAAGCGGTGAAAGGATGGTGGGGAAGATTTCTGTTAATATGAGACAAGAGATAAAGAGGGACAGATGGAGGAGAGGTTGTGAGAATCAGTTTTCATTTACTTTTTACTTTAGCATTTACTAATTTTAATTTCTCTTATTAAAAAGTAATTTCTGTTTATTGTAGACGATTTGGAAATGAAAGTTTAAATCACCCATAATCTCACCAACCAGATACAGCCCTATGAAAATCTTGAAGTTCTTTCTCCGGGACTTTATGTCTCTTAATGACTCAAGAGAAAGTAGCTCTTTTAGTCTTCTAAAACTTCAGTAGTTGGTTAGGGTTTGAGATTGCTTATAAATTTCCCAAAACTTCATGCTGAAGCTAAAAATACAATGATAAAGACCTACCATTCTTGTTCATTATGTACAGTGTTTCAGATTTTTACATTTGTGTGTTTTCATCAGCTTTCAGGGTACTTGGAAGTTCCGAAGACTGCATTCTGTCTC